TGTCACACGACACTAAATAAACACCAAAATGTGTCAAAATCGTGTCAGATTACTTTAAAAGCTTTATAAAGAATTTATTGTATAAGAAAATGAGTTCTGATCTTGTTGTTTTGAAGAGTATTTGCAACTTTAAATTCGCCCCTATCTGCATTTATCTATTACATACCTTAAGAAATTTTCCAGTATTAATGGCGTTGAGTAGGCGATTCCAGTTGTAACTTTGCTGGTGGACAGTGACAGGAGAAGTGGGATCCTGGTAGTTGTCAAAGAGAACCATCCCAGAAGGGCGTGGGGCATACTGGAGAGTACCGTATTGATTCGTCAAATGTGAATCGTAACCTTCCTGAAAAGCGATACAATTTATTTACACAGAGTCTGATTACTAAAGCTGTATGACAGTTATTTTGATTATTTCGATGCGGTCGTCGCATCGGTTGTGGCTTGGGCACCCTACCTTAAGGTCGGGGGTTCGAAACTCTCACGCAAACCGCTTGTGGCCTTGGTCAAGGCACTTTATCTACGGTTGCCTCTCTCCACCCAGGAGTACAGGTGGGTATCTGGTAAACACAACTGCGCTGATTACTAACTGCAATATTATGGAATTCTCCCCAGGGAGCTGAGTAGGCCTATGTGTTCCATACGTGTTTGATCCAATGACCGGGGTAGTAATGTGAAGCGCTTAGAGGATTTATGCATGAAGCGCTATATAAGACCGACATATTATTATTATTATTTTAAGAATTTTCGGTGTGAAAATGTCTTGAAGAATTTAAAACTGATATTGTTATAAATTTATGCATATTATTATTATTATTATTATTATTATTATTATTATTATTATTATTATTATTATTATCTCATTGTAGGCTTAGGTGAATAACATATGAAATGATAATTTGAAGTGCGAAACTCAAAATTTAGATTAATACTTTTTATGATTTTATTGACTTTTGGTGGCGGTTAATCTTCTTGTTTATTAAATTGAATTTGACTCGACATTACCTGAATAGGAATATTCCAATTATCAAACGGTATAACACGAAGCAAACCAACCGCTAGTCTTTCCGCATCGTATCGTGCTAACATTTGAGTATGCATGTAGTAGAACAGCTCTCCTTCTCTATCCTTTGTGGTAGGTTTGCCGTTGATTTCAATTCCACTCCAAGGATACACCTATGAGTTGAAAACTATGAATATGTTTTCGAAAACTAATGGAATTGCATATAATGAATCTTGTTTTTTTTTTACATAATATACTACGTTAATAAATATTTTAGCAATTATATAGTACTCTTCAACAGAGATGCTAAATAGATGTTAAGATTGGATATACAGTATGTGCACAGGGGCGGATTTAGGTTCACATTTAGGGCGGGGGGGGGTCAGACTTTTTTTCATAAAAACGCCGAAAGAAAGGGGTCCGGGGGTCCTCCCCCGAAAAAATGTGATTCTTAGATGGCGGGAAATGAGCTTTCTAGAATTTTAACAATTTCAAAGTTCTTCAAAATTCAAGGTTTTCCCCCTCATGAAAACGGTCAGGTAAACTTCTCTTTCTTATTACTGTAAATACTATAGTAGCCCTATTATGTGTGTATGTACAGTATATAACAAAAATTGAGCCGTTGCATACCTATTCTTTTAAATAAATCGATGAACCCACATAAAACAGGGGTCAGGGGTCCTCTCCGGGAAAATTTTGGTTCTTAGATGTCGAGAAATGAGTTTTCCCGACTTCTGAAGTGTCTTTTAATCAAAGTTCAATTTTTTCCCCTTTTGTAAACGGTCAGGTAATTTTTTTTTTCATTCTTATTACAGTAAATAGGCCTATGTGTGTACCGGTACACATAGATTTTTTCTTTTTTTTAAAT